TCCTGATTTGTAAATAAGGAAAATTGATTTCCTACAACGAACTGTCATATGCCAATTCTTTTTTTAAGTATTCAAATAGATAAAACTAAAAAAATACACAAAAAGGAACACATCACTTGAGAATTTTGTTAAACACACTTTTCAGGGAGCTACACTGTTACGTGCTTAGCTACTGCAAATCCAGTTTTTCAGGCAATTCTCATCAGAGAAATATTTACTTGTTCTCCCAGAGGAGGACAGGGACAGCTATAGCCTGAGTCTGTAAAAAAGAGCTTTTGAGTATTTTGCTACTAACTCTGCTCAGTCAAATCATGGAAAAGCAATGGCTTTCGGGATGTAGAGGGCTGCATACACTGGGTTACTGGGGGAAGGAGTTCAGCTCAGGTGTGATGATCTAGAGAGAAACTATAGCTTTACCCAAAAGCATGTCAATGGCTAATGTCACAGCAGTGGAAGGAAATGCTAAAGTGATTTAGTTTATTTTATAAATTAATGAAGATTATTTTCTGTAACTTGAACTTGTTTCTACAACATAAGCAAGGTGCAAGTACAGACCAGTGGTCTGCTCCTAGATGTTCATCTCTCAAGAGCTTCATCTCTAGGATGGCATATACAGCAATAGACTAATAAGGAGCTCAAGCTTTGAGAGTTAACAGATAATAGTAAGACTTTGTTTTCTCATATTAATGCTTGATTCTGTAACTAGGTTTCTAGATTTATTGACTTTAGATACAAAACACACTAGAAAGGTGTTACCATGCCCTACTTTATACTGGTTCACAGGCAGTTCCAGAAAAATCAGTGCTGTGTACTGAGGAGCCATGCTGTGTGAATAAGGGAGGTGAAACATGGCTACTTACTTTAGCATGCACCTAACCCTGTGCCAGAATAAGCTAAAGCAGACTACTTCATGCTTAATCAGCACAAAAAGCCTATATGGAGTTTTTCTTCTATTAATGAAATTAATATGGGAGAACATTGCATTCTGCACCTTCTAAAGGGCTTCCTAGCAAAGAGCTGGATCAAGATCTCTAATGTAAAATTTTCTGAGAAATGGGAATTGAGTGTCACATTTGTGCTTCCTGAGTAAGGATTTCTGTAAGCTTTCTTATCAAGTCTAGGGAGACTCTGTGCTCAACACTCCGTGCCGCTCCGTGTGCACAACCATTCCCCTAATAGCCACAGGATATGGCTGTGTTTTCAAAACCCAAACACGATTATCATTAAAAAGTTCTAGCTCAGTTTTCATGATATGATCTTCCTTTTCCTAGCTTTTATTTGGATGAAAAGACTAAAATCTACTATGTAAAGCATACAACATTCTTGTCAACAAAACACCATCACACTAGTTTAAAAACCATAAGACTACAAATGCTAAGCTAGTATCTCAAAAGTCACATTGTCATCTTCCTAATAAGTTTGTCAGAATAACAAATATCTTTGCCAGAACACAAACATCTTTGTAAAATTTCCTGGGGGAGAAACACAGACTTATCTCAAACATTCTCCCATTCCCTACA